ATAATAATAATAATCATCATCATCATCATCATCATCATCATCATCATCATCATCATCATCATCCCTTAAAGTGTAGAGCTGGAAAGGCACCCTATGGATCATCACATCCGTCCCCCTGTCAAGGAAGCACGGTGGGGAATTTAACCCCCCACCTCTGGCTCCTCCACAGACAAAAACCTAAGCGAGTTCCTGTCTGTAGAAGAGGACCAATAACAACTTTAATCGCATGTGCTGTTCTAGGTTGCACACTGCTGTGCAGGCATGGCTACAGGCTGCACTTGTGTGGTGATGATGGGGATACTTGTAGATCTGCAGAGCTGGAAAGGGACGCTATGGATCTTCAAGTCCAGCCCCTGTCAAGGAGGCACAGTGGGGAATAGAAATCCAAACTCTGGCTCCACAGCCAGATGCCTAAACCACTGTTAACACCTGAAGACTAAAGCGAGCAAAAATCAAGATTTTTTTAAAAAAATGTAATTGATGTTTTGTACAACCTTTTACTGATATGGGAAATCTAGTGTATCTGTGAGATGTGTAACAATTGTCCAGTGCACTCCTTCCAGAGTGGAAGTAGGAAGCTACAAAATTTATGTAATAGAGCATGATACTTGCTGTGGTTCCACTTGATTCCCAGTTACAATGGAGAAGTTGATAAAAAGGAGAATAAATATTTTACAGGCTTGAATAGTGAGCTGGAGTTATCTCTAGTCTATAGGCCAGAGAGCATATTGGTTGTAGTTGTCGCAGAAAGTTCTCACTGAGTTGCAAAAAATCACAGGCCCCAATGATGCAAAGGTAACTTTTAAGATAAATGTAGGGAGATATTTCTGTTAAAAATGCCAAAATATAAGTACTTGCAAATAAAGTTAACAGTTTAGGTGATCTCTTGCTCTGTGATAAGATACAAGTACAGAACTACTTTTTGTGTTATACATTGGCAATAGAAATATGAAAACAGGGCGATAATGACAAGATGACTTCCTTGTTTCTGAATTTGCTTTCTAGAACTACAACTCTTTTAAGTGCTCTGTTATGACAGAATTGATATACTGTACTTGGGTGTCCACTAAGTCAGGGTGTCTGGTACTGGGCTGTGGCCTTGGCAGAACTCCCACTGCCCCCGCACACATGCCTCCCTACATGGATGGATGCACGAACACCCCCCTGCATATATGCACGCCCCCCATGGATGTCCCAAAACACAGATGCTGTACACACGCTGAACTGTTCCGCGGTGCCAAAACGGTTGCGGACCACTGTACTAAGTGATGAGTTATGAAGCTATCTATGTCTATGTGCTTCAGGTTGGGTACAAAAAAAACACACAGAATAAAGTACCAAGAACTGTACTAAGTGATGAGTTATGAAGCTATGTCCATGTGCTTCAGGTTGGGTAAAAACACACACACACAGAATAAAGTACCAAGGCCAAGCAGAGAAGAGCAGGAGGAGTGTGCTGGCATTGCTTTGTAACCTGTGTTCATAGAACAGTGCATGAATTCAATCAGTATGAAAACAAACATAAAATGGAGTGAGCGGTGCTGTAACTGCCCTGGAGGGCTAGTTGGTTGCATTAGTTTACAGTATTTGTGTGATCTGTACAGGTGTTGAGATTTTTATAGGCATACTTATCAGTGCATCTGAATGCATATTTATTCTGAATTGAGGTCTGCTGTGTTTAGGAGGGTTTGCATATAGAAAGGATTCCAGCCTAAAAGACTTGTTTGAAACAGAGTATCACACTAAAACACCATGGAGTAGTACTACCCTGTTTCCCCAAAAATAAGACCTAACCTGAAAATAAGCCCTAGTATGAGTTTTCAGGATGTTTGTAATATAAGCCTTACCCCCAAAATAAGTTAAGTGAAACCCCACCCTCCACCATTGTGTAGCAACCAGAAGAAGATAACATGGCTGTATTTGAATAAATGTAGATTTTTCTACATGAAAAAAATAAAACATCCCCTGAAAATAAGCCCTAATGTGTTTTTTGGAGCAAAAATTAATATATGACCGTGTCTTGTTTTTGTGGAAACACAGTGTGTACCTGTTGCCAGTTGTCACTTTATAGGTTACAACCTTAGAAATTGTTCTGTATGATTTAATTGCCCACTGCCCACTATGATGCTAGTAGTGGTAATAATTATTTTTGAATAACAGAAGCCTGCTTTGAAGCTTCTCTTGGTGGATGGTAGTTCAAATTACAAGAACATCATTTGGAATATGGGTTACCATGTGTATTGTGTGTAGTATTGGGACTTTTATGTGTGTAAGAGCTGTTTTGTAATTATTGTTTCTTTTTGTGCTTACACATTCTAGTTCTTTCCTAGTGCCTTTCATAGTACGTTGCGCTGCAGTGGGCCCACTGAATCAGTAGGGATTTGGTAAGTTAACTCCGTAAGTTCAGTTGATTCAAATGGGCCTACTCTAGTTGCAAATTACTACATAAAAGTACGTCACAGTTAGCATAGACCCATTTGAATCAGTAAGACTTAAGGAGGAGTTGTCTCATTAAATCCCCACTTATTCAGTGGGCCTACTCTAGTGTGACTTGCTGCACTAGGCAACAGGATTTCAGCCTGTATGTGTGCACTTTCACAACACTCCACCGCCTTCAGTTCAATTTTGTAAATGTCCTTCATCAAAATGTCAAAGAACTGCTAATTTGACAACTATAAGGCGAAGTTTGTTGTTCAAAAAAGGAAACTGCAGGTTAAGTCTGCAGAAAAAACTGAAAATGTCTATAGGTGAGAAAATAAAGAATAGAAGCAGGAAGTAGAAAGGACCTGTAAAAAAAAAGCAGTTGTGTGAGAAAATGAGGAAGTTGACAATTGGACAATTTTTGGCTGTGGGAAAATGTTCAGGGGTCTATAGGAGGAACCTGAAAGGCCAGAGTATAAGAGAGTGATCTGTCAGATACTATTCTTTATTCACAAAACTCAGAACACAAAAACTAAGAAGGCTAATGTGTTGGATAGTATTTGTGAACATCTTGGAGTGATGATAAATTGAGAACTCCACAGTGCTGTTTGATCAACTGAAGAGTGTATGAGGAATTGTATATTTTGTACTCCCTCTTTTTATGGGTATATGTTCCCATATTTTTGGTAAAGCAATTGGGTAAATAAACTCCATTTCAAGAGCATGATAGAGCTTCCCACATTGAAGTAATTGTGCCCAGGGAATGTGAGTGTGGCACTGACAATTTCCTAGCTATCTTCCATGATCTTAAATTAGACCTCTGATCTGATCATTTTGTGGACACCAGCCAGACTGCTCTATCCCGCAACTCGCTTCCTGCACCAGAATACTGCCTGTAATGAGCCATAGACAAATCTGAAATTTGTGATAAGTGGCCTTACCACAGGACAGGCACCATGGATTATATCTTTAGAATTATGAAGGTGACTTGAAATGCAAGAAATATTCTGGGAAACAAAGCAAGACTTTAAAAAACCCCAATTTAGCTCACATTAGAGCAGTGGATGACACAGGAGTCATTTATCTTACAAGCCAGAATAGGATGGGCTTGGAAGTATTTCTTGATTCTCCTTTCCATTAGAGTGTGATATATTTATACATGAACAGTTAATGCTTCCAAGAATATCTCGGAGAAGTCATTTGCGTAAGATTGGAAAGTAGATTTAAGCCTAATTCTTTGGGTGCATAAGTATCAGCATAAGAGTCATATAAAGGTGTGGACCCGTACACTTCACACAGTCTGGACTGTTTTAAAAATTGAGTTGGTTTGTATGTGTTCAGGATATATTAGCATTCTCTGGGCAAGATCAGGGATGGGTGACTATTGAGGCACTTTCAATCATGAAGTAAATGTCAATTTGCCAAAATATCAGATTGCACCTACTTAAGTTTGGGTGGGTGTAGTTGCTATCTATGGACAATTTTGCTTGGCCAAAGGCCATTCTGAGACCAAAGTCTTCACAAAGATTACATTTAGAGGCTAGATTATGGCCCAAAGGCTTCAGGGGTATGGTTTGCCTTTTTGGTACTTTTCCAGGATTCAGCAAGGTCTTGGGGCTGCACTTTGCTCCTCTTGGCCTAGATATTACAGATGCCGTGCACAGGCATAATCTTAAGTATTATGCTGGATACATGAATTACTTACACAGTAGTTGTTATTTTTGTGGCCATTTTCATAGTTTTTTAAAATCAACTTTGTTCACTGGACATTCAGTCAAGTAAAAGTTTTACCAGCAAGTATTTTCAATAAAGCTCTTGGGAATCATCTGAATTTGAAAGTATAATGGGCACATGGGTAGCCAGTTGCTTCTCATGTTGCTTTGGGTAATCCAGACTGAGCTTCTTAATAGTGCTTCTGAAAATAAAAGCAAGCAGGGCAAGACAGAAGTAAAATACAGGAAGAAGTTATTTGTGAAGTTCACTTCAGATTTTTGAAATCAGTTTATAGTTTGCTCTCTCACCCAAACCCTGAATGTTGTGGTGTAAATAAGCCATTACATACACTGGGTGTATAATTATTGTATAGTTATTGTAAGTGCACACTTAAACATGGAGCATTGCCCCAATTTATAAAGAGTTAGTGTACATCAGCACACTGATAATGCTTTGCAGTTAGAAGCGAAGGCACATAGGTCCAAAGGTTGTTCAAGGTTTCTGCAAATAACCTTAAATGTTATTTGCATTGCTAAATATACTGTCTCTACCTCATACACTGATTTTTTAAAAAATGAGACTAAATTAATGGTATGTTAGTTGTTGGAGAAAAGGAGGCAGCTGTCTTTCACCAGATTTGGTGATTGCTTTTAGGAATAATGGCAGAGCAATCATGATAATGATAACAGTAATGTTCAAGACATTTTGGGGGCTGATCTGAGGCTGGCCTCAGTTTGAGAGACATTCATTTTCAATCAGTTTTTGAACAGCTTTAAAAATCTGAAGATGAGGCTGCAGATTACATCTTGTCCTTGTGATACACTGTGTACTGCTAATTGCTTTCTAAAAATAAGCACCTTTGTTTCCATGCGTAAGGGCACAAAGCACATCTCTCAATCTGTCAGTGTTGGACTGCAGTACCGCCTCTAAAAGGTGATGTTCAGTTTTTCTCCAGGACAGAAATATAACAGATTGCAGTCTCACAAGAGGTGCAGCATTTTTTTCTTGCTAGCAGCCAAAATATTATAGTTTGAGCCAATACTACTGAAATTACTAAATCCCTACCCTGTGATAAGCAAAAGAGTGTGAGGCCTAAAAGTCTCCCTTGGCACTAAGGCACGAATGCAATGAAATTTCCTTGCCCTTATAGTCACCAAGTTCTGGAGAGTTTCTGAGTACCCTGGAGGTTTTGAGGAGTACTTGGCTGTCTCCAGTGTGAAGGGCAGATTGAAATCAGGAGAGGTGCTTTTCAACCAGCAGATGGCCGGTATTGCATCCTTTCCTGCAGCTTTGGAACACAGCTGAGCAATATCTAAATGAGGTATTTAACTGGTGGTATTGATACCGAGGAAAGCTGAAACTATATTTTAAGATTGATCAATGAATTAGTAACTGACAGTACATTTGGATTAAAACCAGCCCTCTGGAGAATTCGACCCTGAAACATTCTCTGCTAACCCTTAGCAGAGAAAAACACAGGCCTCAGAGAAACTAGGCCTGGGAAGACAATACATAGACATAGCAATAGATAAAGGGAAATAGATACTGTACTCTATGCCCCAGACTTTTAGGTACATCCCTGGTGCATCATGGACATAGGTCAAGGAAAGATGGGGCAGAATATAATTTATTATATTTAACCAATAGATTAGCGTAGTTACCATTAATTATTCATTGAAGGACTGGATCCAAAGTTGGGATACAAATTGCCAATAGAATTGTAGTACTTTTATGACTCTGTCTGTATTATATAAAACACGTGTACACTGTATTCTGGCGGTCTTCTGTGCTTTTAAGAGAAGTCCCAGTTGACCTTTTCTTGCTGCTATTCAAATAAAATTGGGCCTTTGGTTTATCTGTTTGTGTCTATGACTGATTCCCTGCCAGATAATTTTAGAACCCAGATTTGGCCAGTAACAGTATCATTGACTTGCAGTTTTATGTTGCTTTTAAAAAAATTTCCCAGTTCCTTATTTCAACAAGTGAAGTTTTAATTATAATTGCGAGAGTGTTAGTATTTCTGAGGCTGTAGGTGAATGTAAACAGTTGTAGTTCCTGCTCTAAAATGATTTTCCAGAAATAGCCATAAGGATAAGCACGTGACATGACTTCTAAAGCTCACATGTGCCCGTCTTATTTGGCACTCAGGACTCTGTGTTCTTCTTCAGATATTTGTGGAAAATTATGAAGGGTGAAAAAAAAAGTTTCTTATTTTATTTTTACTTGAAGCAGATACTGAATTGCAGAAAAAGATCTTATTGTTGTCTGTCATGTTTTGATCTCTTAAATGGTGTCTATCAGTATACTTATATTAGTATATTAGAAACAGTTATACATCATATTGTAGTCTATCAAGGCTTCCAAAGCAATAAATGATGAACAAAAAATTCATAACTTAAATCCAGAAAAAAACTTTATTGAAGATTAAAAGCAGTTTTGAAAGTCAAACGCTAGCAAAGTAATTCATTTTCTACTTTTTGTCAAAAGATAAGTAAAGGTGAAGTTAGCTTGTTCTTTGTTGGGATGGATTTCCACAGTCAGCATGTACCTGAAACCCAAGATAAAACACAATATTATAGGTGTGTGTGTGTGTGTGGATTCAACAGTGAGTGTTATGCATGAACTCAGTGACTACATAAGGAGTAGTTTCCAGACATACCGTCAAGTGCAATATGGTTTCCACCACACTGTCTTTTTCTGCCTAACCCACAAAGCATGGTCCACGTTTTTATGAAATGACTACAGTACTAATTACCATAGTTGTGAACAGGGATGTTATGCAAGTGAAACACCTTTGTACATGTTTTGTGACTTATACTACTCTCTCTCCCTACATTTCTTCTTCAGATTGATTATACAGGGACAGAACCAAATAGTCCCTGCCATAAATGTTTAAATGTGTCCTGGAACAGCACACCATGTCAGTGTACCATTAGGTTCACATTGGATCAACCTTTTGAGGTAGGTGCCTGTGTGTTTCAGACAGCTCTTCTGAAATAGCTTACTTATTTAGGTGCTACATAATTAGCTTGTCTTCTAAGTTGGTGACTTGTCCTGCATTGGACTGGGCAAAGTGCAGCCCATTGGCTACATGCATTGCTTCATGGGACCAGTGTGACATCTGGCACCCTCGCCCCAAATTTTTTTTTAAAAAAAGGATTACTGTATTCAGTGCATTTCTTCAGATATTATGAAATACGTTTGAAGCAGATTCCAGAATACTGACTGAGGCCTTAAACTTGCATGGCATGAACATGTGTCCTTAAATTCCAGAAACCAAGGTCCAATGAAATTTGCTGGTGAAAATCTGTTTGTGTAGACAGCATATGTTAAATATCACACTGTCTTGTTTGATGAAATCCAGCCTCAGAAGTGGGATTTCATGAAAATGGGACATGTTGCTTGACTTTTAAATGAATGTGAGCTACCCATTTCAAATATCTGAAATAATACTTTTGACATCTTTAGAACTGTAATTTTTTAAAGGTGCATTTGGCAAAGGTCTTTTGTTTACATTTGTAGCATAATGATATAAGCAGAGATTAGGAGTGGGGTCATGTTGAATGAAAATGAAGAGGATTAATTAAATAACCACCTATTCCCCCCCCCCCGTGATTAATAGTGGGTATCTGATAGTGAATAGAAAAAGAAAAAAAACTTAAATCTATTTTCTTTACAGCTCTTGATGAATTAATCTTCCAAACTGTTAAACTAAATATGTGGTATAAGCAGATTATGTTTCTAATAAACTTGCCCCTAAAAAGTTCCTAGAATCTTAAAGATTAAGCTGAGAATGGACTTCAGGGGAATGGAATGCCAGTTCTGCTGAGAACAATTGTTGGGTGGAGACACTTAAGTATCATTTACTCCAGCCTGCTTTTTTTTCTTTGTCAAGGAGCTACTGTTTTTTCTTCTGAGTTTTTTTTCCTGGTAAGTGGTGTCACCAGCCTCATTCCTCCCTGGTCAGGTCCTTCAGGAAAGACCGGACCAGGAATTGTAGCACTGTATTGCTGCTGAATAGGAAATGCCTAGTTGACTGGTGCTGCTAATCTAGCCCCTTCTATTTAGATTAATGTCTGTTTCTCCACTGCTCTCAGTGCAGTAGAAGGGAACATCTAGATGAAGCCAATCAGCTGATGTCTACATAGAAACTGAGTTGCAGATAGTAAGCATAGTACTTACTCCCTGGATCCCCTGTGTGGAGAGAGGTGGCATATAAGTAAAATGCATACATGCATACAGATAGTCACATGCCCAGTATAGAGAGGGTTCTTCTTTCTTCTGAAGCTGTGCAGTATGTGACTAATAGTGTAAAATAACAAAATTTTAACTTGTGTGTTCCAGAGCAATGTGTTCATGTACTATGGGTTGTCCAACTTTTATCAAAATCATCGTCGTTATGTGAAGTCTCGGGATGATAGCCAGCTAAATGGAGATAATACTTCTTTATTTGTAAGTAGATTTGTTCATTGGTTGTGGGTTCTAATGTAGCTCTTGCTACGCTAGAAAAGTTTTCTTCCACTCACTATTCAATATTGTATGTTCAGTCAGCAACTTGGATATAAAAGCAACTTTTTCTGCCATCAGTCAGGAGAGTTACTCTGGGTAATAGTGTCTGCCTGTCTGCTGCTAGGCTATCAAGGCGGTTACACTGGGTGTGTAGAAACTTCTCCAAATGTCTTTACACAGTCATCAGAGCAAACCACTTTACCTCTCTTCTTCAAGTGTGCATCATTAATCATCTTTTAAACTTCTCTGTATGTGTGTTTAAAAATACTGCTTACTACTGTGTCCTAAGGCTTGGGGTTTTTACTAGTAGTTGCTCTTGGCATCTGATGAAAAGAAAAAGGAAACCTTGTAATCCTGTCTACATTTCCATGTTCTTTATTTTCAGAATAAGCTGATGAAAGTTTTATAGGGAATCTAAAACTGTTTTATCTGTTATCTATTTTAAAGACACTGTTGGATTTGTTTTCTTAATATTTCTTTCATTGTTAGGTTATTTTGGTTAATTTCCAAATAAATAGGTTGCTGGTACTCTCTTGTTCTAATAATAATTTTTAATACAAAGTAATTTTTACTTTAGCTACTGGCAATAAAACAGCAAGATAAAGATTTGTGATATATCGAAATTAGACTCAGTGTAGTGGACTTTCTTCATCTCTGCAAACATGCACAAATGGGGTTGTCTCTGCGCAGAACATTCAGTAATGTTCCCTATTTGAGACATAGCAGGTTTTAGTACTAATCCCCCTCCTCTGCACACTCAGTGGTTTTTCCTCCTGTGAAAACCTCATTTTCCAATTTTTCTGCTTTTCTAGATCCATTGCTGTTTCACAAATGGCATAAACATCATCGAACATGCATTAGTCACTTCAGTTATGTCTCCGAATGGGTTGTTTCTTCTTGGTTGCAGACTGTTGTTCAGCAAGGATAATAGAGCTGTTTACCAAATAAAACTATCCCATGACTTGAACTCTTTTTGTGAACATGTATATAGGAGCAGGAGTTGCTGTAATATTGGTTATAGAATCTGATGTAGTCCTTATTCTGGCCAGCTTTACTTGTATGTGATCAAAATGGAATTGTTTGTCTTTCTTTTTCCTACCAATTAGAACCCCAGTAAAGAATGTGAACCTTATCGCACCAGTGATGAAAAGCCTATTGCTCCTTGTGGAGCTATTGCCAACAGCATGTTTAACGGTATGCCTTCACAAATATGTTGCAACACTTCAAAGTAGGAGTGGAAGCCTGTGTTTAGAGTTTTTTTTTTTTCCTGGCAGTGCCAGTGGTGATCTTTGTCCTGAGCAGCCAGCATATTTTAGTTTTGAGCTGTGCTAATTCTTGGTTGTAGATTGTATCTCCCTTAATTGTGTAGCCAAAAATACAAATCTGCTCAGCTCTTTTTATCCACTCACCCAACATAACAAAGCAATATTGATCAAGTGTGAAAGCATATGCAGAAGATCCTGGATCATTTACTTCTATCTCTAGCAATGATTGGGAAGGATCACTGTCTGGAGCTTCCTCTGTTCCTATAAGAGAGGGATGTTGTTGGCTTCCAGATGTTGTTGGCTTACAGCTCCCATCTGCCTTTATCATTACCTTTGCTGCTTAGCACTGCCTAATGAGTGTTCAGTTCAAGCAACACCTGGAAAGTCACCACTGTCCTATAACATGGCCAGCAAGATGATGTCAATAACCTGAACCTGTAATTGGCTTAGTAATTGTAATTTCTAAGATAAAACCCAGTGCATGACTGAGGAGAATAATCTTACAATCTACAATTACTTCTGTCTGTGTCCTTTGAGACATTTGTATATGACATGGTTTCTGTAGTCACACAAAGCATCATGAAATGGCATCTACTTCCTGAACTGGGTGCAACTAAATTCTTGGAAGAGGATTAGCTTTGAAAATGATTAACTTCTATTTGTTTGTTATCCTGCTTAGATACCTTGAAATTGTTTCGCATTGATCGTAATCAGTCAGACCCCATACCTATTGCTTTGACAAAAAGGGGGATTGCTTGGTGGACAGACAAGAATGTTAAATTCAGGAATCCTTCTGGAGCTTCAGGCAACTTGACCATTCTTTTCCAAGGTAAGATAATACAACAGTCAGTAACCCAGAATGTATTTATTTATTTATATCCCGCCCATTTAGACCACGTCTACTCTGGGTGGCTTACAATAGGAATATCATAACTCAATTAAAAACAACAATTTAAATAATATTAGTATCATTCAAGATGGAAAAAGTATAGATGAAGATTAAAATAGCAAAGTAAAAATCAAGAATTGACAAGTATTACTACAAGAATGTAGGTTCCCATAAATAAATCATGGATATTATTGTGACAGATGTTTTGACCTTGAAGAGGCAAGAGAAAAAAGGTCAATATCTCTTGAATGGAAAAAATGCAGTCCATATTGATGGGAAGAAACTGTCCCCATAATTAGGTATATATCTTTGAATGGGAGTTTTAGCAGGAGATTTGTTTCACTCACTGCCTTCGCATTGCAGGCCCTTCACACTGTACTTTCTGTTATGTCCTAGCTCTCATGTTGTTGCCATATTAATTCTTTTTAATCTCACCTCTTTGATTATTTTATAACAGCTATGCATTGATCCTTTGTTCTAAGACAGGTTATTACAGAACTTTGTTTAGGATTGGCTAGTGCAGGGGTCTCCAACCATTTACAGTGAGGGACACACTGGATACTTTCAAAGTTTTTGAGGGCCGGTGGAAGAAGAACATACCCACCCCTGCATGCATGGATGGATGCCTGCCCATCCGCCCCTTGCATGCATGTGCAAGCCCGCATGCATGGATGCACGGACCCCCCTCACGTGCTGAAGGGAACAGGCTGGACAAAACAGCAACACAGGGCATAGTTTGGAGATCCCTGGCCTAGTGGAAGAGATTGGAAATTTGTTTTAACAGACATTTGTACTGTCTAAAACTAGAGGCAAGAACTAAATAGGCTTAATCTTAGTTGTGAAGCCCTATTGAATTCCCCAAATATTGTAGGAGAGATAAATTATGCAGATGCTATGCCAAGCAACAAGATTTCAGCCATAGTAAGTTGCAACTGGATTTGCCCATTGAATAAGTGGAACTTACAGAGGAGTTGACTCGCCAAATTTCCTCTGATTCAATGGGCCTACTCTAGTTGTGATTCAGCTGTGCTAAGCAACAGGATTTCTGCCCGTGATCACCATATTTCTCTCATTCTTGTTCTCAGAGATGTTGCTATACTGTGAAGACAAATAACATTAAAATATGTTGTAAGATTTAAGTTATGCCTGAAAAGGGTAGTTTCAAAATAGGTACACAGGTGGATGTGTTCTTTCCTCAGTATGTAGGTTTTATGAAAAAATAATAATCAGTTGTTTGTTTTTCCTATTTTTTTAAAGGTACAGCAAAACCTGTCAACTGGCCCCAACCAGTGTATATGCTAGATACGTCTGATCCAGAAAACAATGGATTCATTAATGAAGACTTCATTGTGTGGATGCGTACAGCAGCACTACCTACATTTCGGAAGCTGTATCGCCTTATAGAGAGGAAGGATAATTTGCGCCCCACTCTGCCAGCTGGAAACTATTCTTTGGAAATAGCATACAGTATCCTTTCATTGAATGTTCTAAAGGCTCAAAATGGGCCAGAGTTTCTTATTAAGTTTGATTTCCTGCAAAAGGCAACAAGGCAGGATCTGCAGGTTAATTAAATGCTCTTCATTTGGAACATGTGGGGCAGAACCAAAGGGAATTTATGAGAGCTGCTATAGCAACATCAACATCATTAGCATTGGATCAGAGATTGGCTTTTAAGGTTCAGTTTATTTAAAATTTCTAGTACCTATGAAGGCCTGCACTGTATTTTCCATATTTTTTAAAAAGTTTTAAGGCTACCAGACATAATCACTTTTGGAAATCTTTTAGGCAGTCTACAACTCTGTAGTGACTCCCTCTTCCACTAAGAAATAATATCCATGGTAGAGTCAAGGGGCTGTTTACTGGTGTATAGTATTGTTCATTTCTTCCATATTTGTTTACATTTGCAGTATAGGACCATGGTAGGAATGTGAGATTTTCCATAGGTATTTGTAGTTCAGCACGAGTTGTGATAAGTGGGTAGTGGTGGCCTTTTGGTTAGTGGGGAGAATATTTAACAGTGCTTGGAAGAGTTATATTTTGGGCAGTGGCTAGGGAATTGGTGAAAGCAGTTGTTCAGACAAGTAACGTTTCTAAGCTCAGAGGTTTAGGGTAGGGACACTGTCCAGGAGTTTGCATGAACATGTGAAGCAAGGAAATTTTCCCATACATACTTTGCTGGGTTTTGGAAACCTGTATGGTCATGGTTCCAGGTCAAGGATATGTTGGTGCTTGAGTATTTTTCCCACTTTCTGTGTCAGCCCATACTATTTAGAGTAGCAGAATACTCTTGGGATTTAAAACCTTGAAACCATTCACATATATGCTTCAAAGAACACATGTTTTTTAAAATGCACTCTCCTTTGGCCTTAGGGTTGTATATTATTTGGGTTGATATGACATGTTAGTATTATGCTAGCCATTCGCTGTTGACAAACACTTTTTTCCTATACCTGAATCAGATTATCCTGTGCATAGCTTTGATGGGCGGAAACGGATGATCTTGAGCACCATATCGTGGATGGGAGGCAAAAATCCATTTCTGGGCATAGCCTACATAACAGTTGGCTCCATCTGTTTTTTTCTTGGCGTAGTGCTACTCATCATCCATCACAAATATGGAAATCGGAACAATAGTGCAGATATTCCCAATTAAGTCCAACCACTCCCAACTCACATGTGTGGCATGTGCATCAAGGCCAGTCCAGAGTTGACACAGCTCTTTGAAAGTGCTATTCTGAGTAAATGTTGCTTCTGACACTGAATGCATAAATATATCTGAAGCCTTGTTCCCTGAGAGTGGATTGACTTCAAAAGGTTACCTAAAAACAGTGCTGAGGAGAGTATTTTTGAGGTTTGCCTCTTGATGGACAGTTGTCATGATGCGCATATAGTCTTTCCTTACCTAATGCATTTGCTGCTTGTTTGTGTGCTTTGTAATATGTCAATACTGTGTATAAACTGTACAGAAAATGTGTTCAGGGTAGAGTAGCTTGTTAATAATTTTGAGGTGTGCTGGTGCTACTGGAAGGAAAATAGGCCCATCTGCTGTTTTCATCCCGCAAGGCATTGTGCGCATGGGCTTCATGACACCCCTCCTGCAGAAGTGCTTACTGTATTAAATGTGTACCACTCACGCTGCATTGGGGCCCATCTATGTGTTTGAAGATCCAGTATGTTCCCAAAAGTGTGTTTGGCATGTAAACATGCACAAAAAATGATGTTCCTGTTGACTGGTGACATTCAAAAGCTGCTTTCCACATGGAAATAACTGCTCCATGAAAAACATTTGCTTTAAATTAAACATGATGTCCTCTTATGCCCAGCACCTTGTGTGGTCTCTATCTTTGTATACAAACAAAGATACAAACCTTGTGTCTTTGTATCTGTTCAAAAGAAATGAAGAGGCTCTTTTCCTAAACTAGGCACAAATATATCAGGACAAAAAACATTTCTAGTTAAAAGCAAGGTGCATAAAAATTCATCATAGCCATTCTAATCTTTCTAATTTGGAAGAAGCAGTAAGCTTACTTCAGAAGATATTCCCATTCCTTCACTCAAGTTCTTCAGGTCCTTGTATGTGATATTTTTCAAAATTTAAAAGTGTGAAAGATGCTGTGGCAAAATAAATGTTTTTTTTTCATCTTGCACATTTTTAATCAGATATGTCCCGATTGTAAGAAAGTCAGATGATTTTAGAAACATGCATATTAAATTGCTATGTATATTGTGTTTCTTTTATGTGAAAGTGGTTTGTCACTCTAAATATTTGCTATTGAATAAATGCTGTCATTTGTTTATAAAACTATCATTAGTGAAAATGTGTTTTCTAAAGTTACTTAATCTCTGTTGGCAATCAAGTGGATTTGGGGGGAAATGAAAATGTACATAAATAATAGTTCACTGATACTTAGATCTAAATAGCATTTTGCAACTTTATCTGCTTGGAATCACTCGGAAACCAAAAACATTAGTAAAAATTAGTGTGGAAACAAATTTGTACAGTAGTTTGAAAATGAAGTGACTTCATAGTAGGAATACAAAATATATTAAAAACAAAGTTGAAATAGTTTAATTTCTTAATTACTTCCTCTCCTGGTTAAACTTTACCTATAACTTACTTGCCGATTCAGTATGTCAGGCAACTTATAGGCCATGTATCCAGGTTATGAGAGCTTCATGAATACCCGTCAGTGACTGAACTTAGTTGTGCAGAACCAACCATATCAATTACATGCTCTTTTAAGTATTATAAATAATTAAGGTTTCCACTTACCTGTAACTCCAATATTTCTTTAAAAAACATAATTTATCTTGTCTAATATATTTTAATTTTTATTCTTACAGCAAGATTGTGACTTAACATTCTGCCCGTAAATAAAACAGTAGAATAGGAGGAGGAAAAACTCCTTTTGAAACAGATTCCTCTTATGTCTACTATCTTACAAAAGCCATTATTAGGAAGCTGGGAGGGATGGGTTCTGGCACGATCATCCATTCATTAACAATGCCAAAGATAGACTTAAGATTGTCCATGACTTGTGTGCCTTGACACCTACTTCCTGTTTAATCACATGCCATTGGTAAACAAGACATGGCCTGAGCAAGAACAAAGGATTGCTCACTCAAGTTTGTGGAGGGGAGTTCCCTTGCTATAGAAGCACTGCTATGCCATAGTGGACAATTGCTTGTACAAATGTCCAGTTCTCCCAATGTGTAACATTTGCTCCTTTGTTAACTGCACTCTTGCCCCCATTTTTATTTCTATATCTCTTCTTGATGTCTCTGCAGACAATTTTGTAATATTTCTGGAATAACATGTTTAATGCCAGTTTTTCCTATTTGTGTGTGGTGTATTTTAGCTAACATTACTATGATTTACAATAGCGTTCCTTGATATGCTATTGGCCATTGATGTGCACCAATACACTGCCCGTGAAAATCAATATATCAGCAGACACACTTCCCAAAACCCAGATACAGTCACTGGTATGGTCCATTGAAAGATATGATTCTATTATGTAGTGTACAAAGGCCTAGCAACGCAGCCAGTCAATTGTCTCCTTTTAAAGCAGCAGTGGGAAGATAGTGTTGATCGTAGTGTGCACTTCTGGATTCTCTGCCCCCTGCTCCAAGAACTAGTTTCCTTCCCACTTCATTGTAGAGCACCTAGCTATGTATTTTGTATTGAATATTCTCTTAAGTTGAAATGAAGCTACTAGTGAGAAATAGCTGAATGGGCAGAACAGAAAGACAGTATGAAAATACAGGTTTTCTAGGCTGAATAATAGCACGTTAGACAGCATGCAAATAGGGAGTGTGTGAGATTTTATTAACTAGAACCACTTGGTTTGCCAAGAGTTGTAATCCATAAGTATCTGTTACTTTCTCAGTAAGAACTAAAGATGCCTGAGGAAAGGAACAAGTTGTGGATCCATGGTAACAATTCTCATGTTATTCATAAGTGGTAAAATGATACTTGTTGGAAGACTGTGATGGTTGGAAAATGATCATATTTCATACTTCGTGACAGGTAAATGTAAGAATGTAAGCATTCAGTGTAATTTTTTGAGTTGTGTGTAGCAATGCTTGTGGCAGTCTTTCAGAACAATTCGCAATGTTACAGCTCTTGTTCAAATACAGAGCAAAGCAGTCCTGTTGCTGAAGGTGGGAAGCCAAAAGCTGCATCCTCTTATTGTGCTATGGCCATGTTGGTGCACCTCTGCTTGGGCAAAGGATGAGGACCAGCACCCATTTCCATTACCCCCAGAACCAACAGAGAAGGCGATGGCAGCAGTGTGCCACAGTCTTTTCCCTCTGAATATCCACCATGGATGAAGAGCAGAACTCTAGGTGCAATTTACACCCTCCCCTCAAAGGGACTCAGATTAGTAAACTCCTGAGTCCAAATCCTCTTGCAAAACACCAAGGTCTACACATCCAGCTCTGCACCTAGAGCAAATGTTTGGGACCTTAACTCCCAGAATCCCCAGCTTGTATTGCCAGTGATGAAAGACCGCAGGAGTTTTAGTCCAAAGCATCTGGAGTGCCCAAGGTTCACCACCTTTGTCTAGAGGACTACAATAGACCACAACAGAGGGCTGGCAAAATGTATGCAATTTACTATTAGCGTAACACAGTACTGTACGTTTCTGACCCAGGACATTAGAAGCGGTTCCTCTGGCTAGCTCTTCCTTCAGCATGGCCATATAGAAACAGAAATAACACCATGTGACTTTGAAATAGTTACACAAAAATCTAAGAAATGCCACCACTCCTTATATGAGACAGGCAAGACAACAATTGTCTATCTTTCCTATCGCACTGCAGGCCTCTTACGTATCCTCTGCCTTTCCTGAGGCATCTCTGACCCTGATCCTCAGGCTTTTAAGATGTGACATTGAGGAAGAGAGGGCGGATTGTCATTCCTAGATTAGTGGAAAAAGGAAACTCTACAGGGAAGGACTTGGGGTGTTTTTACCGGTAGAGTTGGATTTCTGCTTGCACAACACTGGACCCAGCCTACTGGCAATGGGCAGCAGGGGTGAGTCAAAGAAAGAAGCATTTGTACAGAGTACTGAGATAAGGCAAAGAACTTGGGACACTTAAACCATTACGTAAATGCTAAGTATTTTAATGCCCTGTCAAATCTTCAAGCTTGAGGAAAATGCTCAAGACCTAGGTATTTTCCAACAATGGTATTTAATCTACAGCCGTAGACTGATGAATTGTACGATCTCTTGCGTGTTCAAGAGCTACAGTACCTCCCTTGCCAGCATCTGAGTCATTTAATTACTCTGTTATTATTTATTTGATTTACACTCTGATTTTCCTCGTAAGAGCTCTGGTTGGTTGCTGCTTGGAACAGCCTTTCTGTAGCTGAGGCAGTTTTCCTGTAGGGTGTTCCTCAGAACTGGATGTTTTAGCTGAAGAAATTATTTATGGAAAAAATGTAAGATCCCATAATTTTCTGACTTTCTGTGCTTAGAAAGACTGGGCATTCCCCACAGCTTCTGATTTGCTGACTCCCTTCAACCACAGATTTCATAATTACTGACCCCCCAGGTTGTTATGCCTTGCCCAGCAGTGAATCAAATTGTCAGGTTGCAAGACTATAGACAAATATTGTAACATTGTACAACATTGTAATGGAAGATAGTGTTAGGATAATGTTTAGGCATCAAGCTGCTTGTTGTTATGCGCCATCAAGACACCTCTGACTTATGATGACCTTATGATTGTAGTTTCTTGATGCTAGCAGTGCTTTGAACCTTAGCACTTGTGCTGTCAGATGTGAAATACCGGTAAGTAGCAACCTGAATAAGGACAAAATTATTCTACAACACATACTGATTTGCGATGATCCTTTGAGATTTCTTACATTATTATGATTTAAAAAAAATAATAACACCAAATGACAAAATTTCCTTGTCCTGATCTGGAACAAACACACGCACACCTGCACACACACACACGCACACGCAAATAAGCAAAAGGCTTTTTCTTACAGTCACAACTCATTAATGATTGCTAACACCAAATGACAAAATTTCCTTGTCCTTATCTAGAACAAACACACCCACACCTGCACACACACACACGCAAATAAGCGAAAGGCTTTTTCTTACAGTCACCACTCATTAATGCTTGCTTGATTGTAAGCCCAACTCTGTTCATTAAGATTTACTTGCAAGGAAAATTGGATAGGACTGTGTGCCTGCAGCCTGACTGTATGCATGTGTATTTGAATGAACTCTGCGTTTTGCTTACTCAAAAACAAGTAGCACCTAGGCTGCAGCCTCAGTCCTGCATTTCAAATCTCCAGGAACATAGTGGAATCATGCTAAATACTGAATTGTGCTAAATCAATCTGAATCCACTCCAACATATATGATATCTAAAGAAAATCCATTATTTGTCTCTGAATTGCAAATGGCCATACAACTAAACATTGTTCTTTTGAAATAACACTAAATCACTCTTAAGCTAGTACTCGACTAGTTCTGGCAATCAACTTATTATGAAAAAAGTATACATTGTTCTCTACAAAATATACCAGAAAAGCTTTTCTGTGCATGTAGCTACTTGCACCTAGTGACTGATAACATGTATTGTTCTTGCTCTTTTTTAAACTGACTTCCTGATTTAAGGCTTAAATCATCTGCCTGTAAATCTGTTTTGCAATGCTTATGCCAAAATTGGTGTTATATTTCAGTTTTTTTAAAAGGCACAAATTACCAAATAGAATATCAATAGATTTCAGGAGGACATGGGCAAAGTATCAATAAATTTCAGGAGGACATGGGCAAAGTGACTATTCCACAGCAGAAGCACTGTGGTTGTAAAGTGGACAATACTCACTATTCCATTTTGGGTGTATTAATACTTGACCTGATGTATAGGTTATGACCAGCACCTTAAATTGGGCACCTAAACTAATAGGGAACCAATTAAGGTGTGCCAAGGCTGGGGACATGTGTTTGTATCTGCTAGTACCCGTAATCAGTCCACTGAATTTTGGATTGGCTGAAGTTTCCATATTGACTTCAAGGGCAACCCTACATAGGGAGTGTTAGAGTAGTCTGTTTTAGAGATTACCAGCATATGAACCACTATTGTTAGTCATTTTGGATCCAGACAAGGGCTCAGCTGGACAAAACTAAAATTAATAAAAGCTGATATTTGCACCTCTATAGAGAGAGATGGGTCCAAGAGTACCCCCAGGCAGCAAACTTGATCCTTCAGGTGAAGTGTAGCCCCACTGAGACCAGGTCAACATCCCTCAGACCAATCTGATGATTCTCTCAACAGTAGAATCTTTGTCTTATCTGGACTCAGTTTTAGTTTGTTGGCCCTTGTCCAGTCTTATTACCAAAGCCAGGCAGCGCTCAAGGACAAGTATAGCATCATCAGCAGATGAAAAGGAGAGAACGAGCCATGTGTCATCTGTGTATTGATGACAACGGACTCCCAAGTCTATGTATGACTTCTCCCAGTGGTTTCATATAGATATTAAAAAGCATTGGACCAATCCTGCAGGTCCCCCATAACCGAAGCTCCAAGAGGCCTGACAATGCCTCCCCAAGCTGTACCATCTGGGATCAGCCCTTAAGGGAGAACAGGAACCAACAAGAAAGACTGGAACCTCTGAGTCCTAAACTCAATGGCCCTTAAGGGAGAACAGGAACCAACAAGAAAAACTGGAACCTCTGAGTCAATGGCTGTCCCAGAAGGACTCCGTGGTTGATGGTATCGAAGTCTGCAAAACAATCCAAGAGGACCAGTAGTTCTCCTATCTGCCTCCCTCATGATCTCATGCTGCTGCCGGGCGACCAATGCCATTTCAGTCCCACAGTGCAGCCTGAACCTTCGTTAAAATGGAGCTCTACTACAGATGGGCAAGAGGTGCTTCGTACTGGCTCCCACACTGATCTGCTAGTGTGTGCTACCCCTTCCCTCCTTGTTGCACGATCTTCTAGTCCTGGCAGGAGCATGGACTTCCGTTCACCACCACGTCCAGCAGCTCCCCACTCAGACAAGGAGGAGAGTCAACTAAAAATTTTAAACTGTTGTAATCTCAGCTTCTATACATACCACAAATCTCAGGACTTTTCTCTTTTTTTTTCCTTACACAGGTCCAATCAGTTGTTTGAAATACAGTATAAAGAAAAAGCCCTACTTACAGATGCTCTCCCACTCACTTGATATCTACAGTCATGCCCATTAATAAACTAACATCTGATCTACAAGGTTTGTACAGTTAATCAAATCCTTAAATTAAACAAAATAAATCCAACTCTTAATTCAAACCCATAAGACCAGTGTCTTAAATCTGAACATCCAATGCATTTCTTTTCTAATAAGGCTTTTTCTCTGTGTGGGTAGATCACAGAGAAGGCCGAGCTCTGCATCAAAGAGGGTGTTCAGGGATGATAGTGTCTACAGTTCAGGCCACCTCTTCAGTGCCAGTGGGTGACCAGAGCATCAACAGGAGTGTCAACCGTATCAGCCTGAAAAGTTCCTATAGGATTTTGGAAACCATTCAAATCCATCAGCAGCCTTCAGGGGCTATTGTTCTGAATGTTCTTATTTAATATTCACTGTCTTCCCCCCGCCCCCCACTGTTTCCTGTGCTGAAAGACATCACACTCCTGTTTTTTCTGCTGTGCATCCATATGTACTATACATTTTTGTGGAGGTGAACAATGCATACACCTGATCACAGGGTCTAGAGCCAACAAAAGGCTGTAATACAACAAATCAGGTAGTCTCCGATATGGTACTAGATTCTTTTTCTACAACAGACGAGCAGGACACGCTGAATTTAACACATACACAAAGGTATGCTCTTTCCCTGCCCAACCCCCTGGGGAAGTTCATTATGTGGATTCTCCATTGGAAGCCCGGCTGGTATCAACACAGGCTTCATGTTGTTGTTTAGTTGTCAAGTTGTGTCCGACTCTTCGTGATCCCATGGGCCAGAGCAGGCCAGGCCCTCCTGTCTTCCACTGCCTCCAGGAGTTGGGTCATAGTCGCATTATATCAAGACCCGGCTGTTTCCCAAGTTTTTGAGTCTTATTAACCACAGTTCAGTTCTTTCTTAAGATGAACATTGATTTTAGAACGAATTTATTTGAAATATTTTTATTTGAAGTGCTTCATTGTCATTCACACTCTCCTATCTCTGGATCCGGTATTGAAAACGCCGAATAACTTGTCTAAGAAAACAGCGGGAAGGGTTAGCCTATAAAACAGAGGCCAGCGGTCCTTTCGGGCCAAGACTTTTGCCTGTGAACAACTCCACTCCCACCAAGCCCATCCTCCTCCGCGAGGCGCGACTTTGACTTTTGGCCGTAAAGGTTGCGAGTGCGACGCCAGCAAGAAAACGTTCGGGGGTTGTAGGTTGTTCGCCCACCCAGCGGTGGCGCTCTCGCTCTTCGTTAGGCAGGTGTCTATGGCCTACAGCTGATCCGCTCCTGCTCCAGAGAGGACCATAGATATTTGGGGTGGAGGGAAACAGACCACCATCGCATGCTTTGGCATTACTTCCGGTTACAATCCCAATACTGTACTATAAATTAAGGATTAGAGTGCGCCACCTATGGGCGCTGGGTCATATCGCTACGGGATCTCTAATATTGCTCACGGACCACAGAGGGTTTTTTTTTTTAACTTTACCACAGAGTGGGCAAAAGCTAGAGCGGCCGCTACGCTGCTCCGACGGCCGTCGTTGCCATTTCTCAGCCCGGGGCCGTTGGGAGTTTCGTCCTTCGGCGGGATTGACACGTCACGTGGCAGCCGCTGGACCCGCCCTCGCTTCTTTCCGGTGCCCTTGTCTTTACCGTTGGCGAAGGTGGAGGAGAAAAAAAAAGGGAAGGCGACAAAATGCTGCGAAACGTTCTGGTAGGAGGAGAAGGGCAGCGGCCGAGACGGGGCCGAGGGGGTTGGGGGGAGCGGGGGGGGCGCGATAGGGAGGGGGGTGGGAATGGGGAGGGGGGGAAGGCGTCCGCCTCAGAGAACCGTGTGTGTGTGTGAGAGAGAGAGAGTGGGCCGAGAAGGCGCTTCCGACTTAACGGGGGTCCTGGCAGGATGTTGGAGGCACGGGGAGAGGTTCAAGGAAGGGTGTATGATTGCCTTCGCGCCCCCCCCCCGGGGATCTCCACGGGAGAGCCCAGGATTTGAACCCAGGTGGAGTCCGAGGAGGGGAGGGACGGGCTCCCCAAAGGAAGCCGCGGCCTTGACCCCCTACCAGCGCGGAGC